CCCTTGCCTTGCCAGGGAAGCGCTTATTCCACTGAGCCATCTCCCCGGCCCACCCCCGTGCTTGCTTGAGCTTGCCTTTCTGTAATCAGCCCTTCCAGAAAGGCTTTGGACAGTGTTTTGTTTTGTCCCCTGCAGAGGTGATAGAGTTGCATCTTCAACATCCACAGACTCAGGGGCCGGGGAGATGGCTCAGTGGAATAAGCGCTTCCCTGGCAAGCGCAAGGGCCTGAGTTCAATCCCCAGTTCCGCAAAAAAAAAAAAAACCAAAAAAAAAAAAAAAAATCCACAGACTCAGAAAATGCCTCTCCCTCCCACCTCTTTCTTCCAGCCAAAAACTCCCTCCCACACACACCAGCGACTATTCCTGGTTCCCGTGTCCCTAAAGAGAGACTGGATGTGAGTCAAAGAAAGGGACATTTGCATTCTTTTGCTCCTCGCCTGAAACTGCTTGCATTGTTCTGCATCCAGCTCCTGTTCTGGACAAGAACAGCAGGGGCCCCAAGGCTGTATATTTTCTTTCTTTTAATTTAATTTTATATTTTTAAATCTGTGTGTGTGTGTGTGTGTGTGTGTGTGTGTGTGTGGCCAGCTCAGCCCACCAGGGGGCGGGGCTGGCTGGCATGTGGGGCTGGGGGATTGAACCGCGGTCCCTGATGCCTTGCTAAGCTTGTTCTAAGTAGGTGCTTTAGACCACTGAGCCATCTCACCAGCCTCTGCTGTACATTTTCTTTCGTCTCCTCTTTTTCCTCCCATACTGGGGAAGGGGGGATTGAACTGTGCGGACCATTGAGCCCCCACCCCACCCCCTTTAATTTTATTTTGAGACAGGGTCTCTCTAAGTTGCCCAAGCTGGGCTTAAACTCGAGATCCTCCTGCCTCAGCCTCCTGAGTGCTAGGGTAACGGCGTGACCGTGATGCCCAGGACCCATTCCTTTCCATCACTGCTGGGTAGATGCTTCAGACTCACCAGTGGGAAGAAAGCCAGGACCACCGAGGCCACCGTTATCTGCACCACGAGAATGACAACCATGGCCATGAGGTACTGCAAGACATGGGGGGACAGAGGGGACTGGCAGCCTCCGGGCTGCATCCTGCCCTTTCACCCCTCACCACTGCTCCAGCGCAGAAGGCCTCCCACCTTTGAGCCCAGCCCTGTGGCTTCGCATATACATGGACAGCCCCTGGGGCAGTTGGGGCTGGGTCTCTAGTTTGGAAGGTTAGAAGGAAACTACATGTTTGTGATCCTGGCCTTCTGGTGGCTGAGGCAGGCGGATCGCAACAAATTCAAGGTCAGCTTGGGCTACGTAGTGAGTTCAAGGCCAGCCTGAGCTATGTAGTAAAACCCTGACTCTAAAAGACTGCCAGAAAAGAAGCTGGAGATATATATATATATATGATTTTTTTAATGTATTTAGTACAGGGTCTACAGGGTCTCACTACACAGATTGGACTCATAGTGATCCTCCTGTTGTCAGCCTCCCAAGCGCTGGCCACCTTGCCCAGTCTCAGTCGCCATCTCAGAGTGCCTTTGGGGCGGAGCAGGCACAGCACCCCGGGAACTGAACCTGGTTTCTGCTGCCCGTCCAGGCGCTTTAGTCCACGGTCAGGGCTGGCCCATCAGAGCCCCAGTGGGGTGGTGGAACAGAGCCCGCCTTTGCGCAGAGGTCAAGTCAAGGCTGCTCGAGAACAAGCAAGACACGGCAATCACAGTGTCCTAGCTGCAGGACCCTGCTTGGAATTTTCCCTTCCTGAAGTCAGTCATGACATCTACTCCCTTTCATGGCCACCGCCCTCTCTCCATGTTGGTTCTTAAGAATGTTTAATGCAGTGAGGCATAAATTGGACCATGAAACCATTTCCTCTCACAGTTTTGGCTGTGAACTGCATTTGCATTGTGTTGATCTAGCACTCCCAGTGATCCTCCTGCCTCAGCCTCCTGCGTGCTGGGACTGCAGGGGTGCAGCGCCACCATGCCTGGCTGCTTTTTTTCTTTTTTATAAATTCCTCTATGTTTGTAGCACATCCTGGCCACGCCACCTGGGAAGGCGGTAGGTATACAAAACACATCTTGAGGCTTCATTCATCCCCTCCTCTTCTTGCTCCTTTTCCCATTTGCAAAAATCTGGCTGCTTAATTCCTACTATCCATCTTCTGTTTTGCTCTTGAAATCACCTCCACTCTGGGGTTCTTATAGAAGAGAAAGCATGTGGGCTGGGGAGATAGCTCGGCAATCTAAGTGCCTGCCTGGCAAGCGCAAGGACCAGGGTTTGTTCCCCGGTACCGCAGCCACTGAAACCAGGCATGGTGGCGCACACCTGTCATCCCAGCGCTTGGGAGGCGGAGACAGGAGGGTCACTCCGAGTCTGAGCTCTGTCCTGAGACCACGTACCAAACGCATAAATGAATTCTTAAAAAGATTTTAAAAATTTGAAAGTAAAAGGCACGCTGAGACCCCATCTTGCAACCCTCCTCAAGAAATAATAAACCCCGGTGGTCCTTGCCGCTGGCCGTTGCAGCCACTGTGGAAATCAGTGCGGATAGGCTTCAGGAAGCTGAAAGGAGGAACTCCGCGCAACACAGCTGCTGTCCCTCGAGGCCTCTTACCACAGCAAAGTTGAAGACATCCTATGTGCACCCATGTTTATAGCAGCACAACCTTCACAGCTAACTCCTGTTTTGTTTTGTTTTTTTTTGGTGGTACCAGGGATCGAACTCAGAGTCTTGCACTTGCCAGGCAAGCACTTATTCCACTGAGCTATCTCCCCAACCCAACAGCTAAGTCTTGGAAGCAGCCCATATGTCCATCCAGGGGCCGGGGAGATGGCTCAGTGGAATAAGCGCTTCCCTGGCAAGCTCAAGGACCTGAGTTCGATCCCCGGTTCCACCAAAAAAAAAAACCCCAAAACCATATGTCCATCGAGTGGGTAAAGAGTGTGGTGTTCATAAACAAAGGAGTACTACTCTGCTATAAAGAAGGATAAACATTCAGGTGTAGGAAAATGGTTTCCTCATCTGGAGGCCATAATGTTGAGTGAAATAAAGGGCACGCACACCCACCCACACCCCACACACGCTTCAGTATCACACGCTTCTCTGATATGAGGCACTGGACGTATATATTGTTTGTTTAGTTACTTTTTACGTATTTGCTACAGGGTCTCATTTCACAGCTTGGACTCACGGTGCTGCTCCTGTCTTCAGCCTCCCCAGGGCTGGGATCACAGGCATGCACTGCCACACCCGTTCTTGGTGGCTAGCTCAGTGCGCCCGGGGTGGGGTCAGCATGGCATGTGGTACCAGGGATCGAACCCCGGTCCTTGCGCTTGCCTAAGCAGGCGCTTAGTCTGCTGAGTTATCTCACCAGCCCTAATTCAGCTATTTGAACCAAAATCTGCTTCTGTAGCTCAGGCTGATCTTGAACTCACTGTGTATCCCAGGCTGGCCCCCAATTTATGGTGATCCGTCCTCCTGCATCAGCCCCCCAAGTCCTGGGATTACCAGCCCACTTGGGTCTGAAGTTTAAATAATATAAAGAGCAAAATAAAAGATAACAGAAAAGAAGAGATAGTTATTTTTGTTTTGTTGCAAATGGACAGAAAGCCAAGAGATGGAGGGGGAGGTGGACGGAAGGAGAAAAAAAGTTAAAAAAAAAAAAAAAGACATATGATGTCTATGCACCATCTCCCCACAGTGAACATGATCACTACACACTGCAGACCTGGATTTAAAATGTTTTAAAGAGTGCACCTGTCAGGCCGGGTGTGGTGGCGCAGGCCTGTCGTCCCAGCACTTGGGAGGCTGCGGCAGAAAGATCACCAAAAGTTGAGGCCGGCCTGGGCTACAAAGTGAGCTCAAGGCCAGCCTACACTACATCTTGAGACTCTGTCTCAAAAACAAAAATGAAAATACAAACAAAAGAAAGAGGGCACCTGTCACCATGAACCGAGACACCGTGAGCACCGGACACAGTCCACAAGAGTCTGTAAGACACGCGATGAGGGACTTGGATGCGGCAGGGGTGGTCTGAGGACTGAGTACGGATCCGACTTACAAGCAAGAGGCTTCCTCGGCTCGCTCTCTTTGCACCACACCACCCAAGCAGGGCCAGCAGCACCGCCACGCAACCCAAGCCCAGGTACAGGTGGCCGATGTGCAGGTGGTGCGTGGACGCTGGCCCCAGGACCTTCGTCAGGGCGGCCTCTCCGTACTTGATACCAATGCCCAGGCCAATGAGGATCACGCCGGACGCCTTTAGAACAGAAATGAAAGGAGGAAAATGTTTCATACACAGAGAACTCTAAGGGCTGGGGAGATAGCCGAGTGGCTTACATGCCTGCCTGGCAAGCACAAGGTCCTGAGTTCAATTCCGGGTACCAAAAACAAAACAAAAAACAAAGAAGGGCTGGCAAGGTAGCTCAGTGGGCTAAGCACCCACTACTGGGGTTGGATCATCGGTACCACAGTCTATGCCAGTCCCACCCCTAGGCACACTGTGCCTGCCACCCAGACCAGGCATGGTGATGCACGCCTGTAATCCCTGCATGGGGGAGGATGAAAACAGGAGGATCATTATGAGTCTAAGCAGCCTAGGGAGAGCCTGTACCAAGTAAAAAAAAATAATAATAATATTTAAAAAAAAAAAACATCTTTTGCCAGGTGTGGTGTCACACACCTGTCATCTCAGCACTCAGGAGGCTGAAGCAGGAGGATCACCATGAGCTCAAGGCTAGCCTGCACTACATAGTGAGTTTGTTTCAATAGTAATAACAGCAAAAAACAAGAACAAAAACAAAAAACAAAACAAAAAACTCCTTGAGTAAAGGGTAAAGAAAAGCAAAAGCTGATAAAAATGAGCAAAAATGTTAAGAAATGATAATAAAAAAAAAAAAAGATAATACCAGAATTGGCAGTGATGTGGGAACATTCTCATAATTGCTACCAGGCAAGAATTCTGGGCAGGGTGGGTCAGGAGGCCACTTTGAAATTTGCATTTAAAACTGTAAGCTGCCAGGCATGGTGGCACACGCCTGTCATCCCAGCCCTCTGGAGGCTGAGGCAGGGGAATTGCTTTGAGTCCAAGGCCAGCCCAATCTACATAGTGAGTTCAAGACCTGCCTAAACTACACAGGGAGACCCTCTCTCAATCAACCAATTAACCAGTCAATAAATAAAACCCTAAAGGTTCTGTCAGATTGCTGCTTTTTTTTTTTTTTTTCCTTGTTTTTGTTTTTGTTTTTGCAGAACCGGGGACTGAACTTGGGTCCTTGTGCATACCAGGTAAGCACTTATTCTACTGAGCCATCTCCCTGGCAGGGTTCTGTCAGGCACAAAGGCACACAGGTGTAACTCTAGCTACCCAGGAGACTCAGGCAGGCAAGCTGCAAGTTCAAGGGCAACCTGGGAAAATTAATGAGACTCTATCTCAAAATTTAAAACAGTAGGCCAGGAATATAGCTCAGCGGTACAGTGCTTGTCTGGCAAGCATGAGGTCCTGAGTTCAATTCCTAATACCACCCCCCAATTTAAAAAAGCTAAAAAGTTAAAAATGGTGAATCCTCAGCACTAAAAGTACGTTTTGAGGCAGTCATGCCAAGTTAACCAGGCTAGGCTTGAGCTGTGATGCTCCTGCCTCAGCCTCCTGAGGCCACCATGCCAGCACACCTGGGTCTTCATCTTATTCTAAAATGAAAACAGTTCTTGAGCAGTGGATATTTGAAACTAATTTTTTTGCATTATAAACGTGTAATTTTTTTTTCATAATTTTAACTAATTTTATACTAAGAAAAATGTTTAAAAATGTTTCTGAAAAATGTAACAATTGGGGCCAGGGGCTCTGTGGCATAAGCACTTCCCTGGCAAGTGCAAGGGTCTTAGTTCAATTTCCGGTTCTGGGAAAAAAAAAATCAAAAATTAAGAAAATACAGGGCTGGGATGCAGCTCAGTGGCAGAACGTGGGCTTCACACGTGCGGGAGGAGCTGGGTGCCGTCCCAGGGCGAAAGGAAAAAGAAAAGGAAGGAAGGAACGAAGCATGGATGGAGGGATTAATTTCCTAAAACCCCTGCTTCCTGGGTCACTGCACTCCGGGAGGCCTGCCCCGGGTCCCAGCGCGCGCGTGGCCGACGTCCCCGCCTCTGCGCCCCGGCAGCGCGGCTCCTGGGCCGGCCTGCCCTACATTGCCCGCTCTCCCGGGAGCCTAGATCCGGAGCCGATCTGGACCAGTTTATTTCTGGCTTCCAGGGAGCGGAGCCCGCGCCGGGGGCGACACACTTACAGCCACCAGGCCGTTGAGCAGCGCGAGCAGCGACCGGAGGGAGGCGTAGGGCGTGCGCGGCTCAGCCATGCCAGGCGGGCGGCGGCTGCGTCCGCATCTCCCCGGCCGCCGGCGGCTGCTGCTGCCCGAGGCGCCGGGCTCCGCGGGGGGCGCCGAGCTGACCGGCTGCGCCCGCTGGCTGCCGGCTGCCTGCTGGCTCCCCAGGGCCGCCTGGAGACCGCCCTGACTCAGCCATAGCCTCTTATCACATCACAATCTGATGCCAGCGAGACAGGTGTCCCACGCTGTCCCCTGTCGCCTCCTCGTCCCCCAACAGGCTACACAGGGGACAGAGAAGAGGCATGTGGTAGCCGGGCATGCTGGCGCACGCCTCTCATCCCACCACGCGGAGGCTGAGGCAGGAGGTGCCCCGTGAGCTCCAGGCCAGCCTGGGCTGCACATTGAGTTCAAGGTCAGCCTGAAATACATCGCAAGACCCTGCCTTAAAAAAACGCAACAAAACAAAACAGGGCCTTTTTCGATATAAAAACCCTGAGCTGGAGAACTGAGGGCTCGAAAATGGGGGCGCAAAGGCGCATGGGAAAATGTGGGGTGCAAATAAAGATGTGAAATCTGAGGTCAAGTGAGTGCAAATGAGGCTAGAGGGCGAGAGCAGACAAAGAAGTGGGAGGTGGAGAGCACAGTGTAAAGAAGCCTGGGGACACGGGGAAAGCGTGGATGACCGTGATGCAGAGCACAGGAAACGCCAAGGGCAGGGCGGACTGGACAGCGGAACCTTAACCCACGGCCACGCCCCTCGCCCATAGACCACGCCTTCATGACACGCCCCCTCGTCGGCACCGCCTCTCCGCGGCCTACTCTCGTTCGGTCCCGCCCAAGTAGCCCCGCCTTCCTGATGACACTTCCTTGGCCCCGCCTCCCTCCGAAGCACCACTCATCTCTGGCCCCGCCCCTCCGCGACTCCGCCAGAGTTGGCGTACAAAATCTCAGTTTAGATCCCAGCTTCGCGCGCCGCTTGGCGGCCGCTAGTGGAAGCGCATCCTTGTCTGAGGCCCCTGGGCACTGGGGCGTGCCAGAGCCAGTGTTGGCCATCAACGTGAGGATGTAGAACAGAAGCAACACTCCTCGTCCTGCCCCGCCCCACTCCACTCCCACCCGCTCAGGGAGCAGGGACAAGCTGCGCAAACATCGGAGGACGCAAATACCAGACAAATTCCCAGAGCATTGGGAGTCTGGGGGCTGCCCAGGAGCAAAGACAAAACCAACAAGCAGCAGGCAGGCCCGGAGTGGTCATCCCAGCACTCGGGAGGCTGAGGCAGGAAGATCGCTGCAAGTTCGAGGCCAGCCTAGGCTACATAGTGATTCCAAGGCCAGCCTGAACTGCATAGCGAGACCCTGTCTAAAAGAATCCAAACCAAACCAAAAACAAAATTCCTCAGCTCCATGTAAGGCCTGCCCAGGCAGCCATGAGCAGAGGGCCCCAGGGGGCCGATCCTGCAGGGCTGGGAGGACTGGCAGCTGAGAGAAGAGTCTTACTGAGTATGCAGGGGAGGGCGAGCATGCTTGAGGGCCTTCTGTGCCTTAGCTGCTGCGGGTCTCAGAGCAGAATTTCCTGATTTGGTGGGGGGCTTGAGACAAACTCTCAGTACAGTCTTGTTTGTTTGGCTTTGGCTTTGGTTTTTTTGAGACAGGGTCTATGTAGTACAGGCCTGGCCTCAACTCACAACGATCCTGCAGCCTCAGATTCCCAAGTACTGAGATCACAGGCATGCATTACCATGCCCAACTTCAGTATGTAGTCTTTTTTTTTTTTAATTTTTTATTTATTTGTGTGTGTGTGTGTGTGTGTGTGTGTGTGGCCAGCTCAGCCCACCAGGGGGCAGGGCTGGCTGGCATGTGGTGCTGGGGG